GAATAACCAGCTGTACGCCACATATCAATTTTATGTATAAAACCGGATACCAGCAATGAGTCATTTTTCTAGTGAACATAATTTACCTGAGATTTAAACACGGATTAAGAAAATATGACTTATTCTTTTTTAGTTTACTGAACCAATATAATAATTAATAGAAAGCATAAACTTCTGACATCTCTTTACATGTATACTGTGTCATTTCCATATCTTAATGACATAATGAAGATTTCATTTGCGTAAATTATTGTAACTATCGTATATCAGTATTATATCAACCCATAAGTATGTTTTACTGTAGTACCTCCAACTAGAGCGAAAAGTTGTCTAATGTTTCTAAGTTTTCAAAAATAACTTTCAGTTGATATCATTTCACAACAAAATCCATTTTCAAAATGTAAATTAACCTCTGATAAACATTTATTTAAAGTAGAAGAAAAACAACGATTAGACGTTTGTCTTACCAACGAATACCTAATGGAATGCTTATCACTAATAAAAACCACAATAATGATAACGGTAAGAGTAAACCGTCTAAACAAAATCATATCGGTTTTTAAATTGTTCTTTCTTTATTACTATGTGTCTATAGCATATCGCTTTTTCTAAAAAGAAGCTGATCTCTATTTTAAATTGAAGTAAATTCAAACTGACATATACAGAACAGTAAATTAAAAAGGCATACAATTCCAGTCAATCGAAAAAAACATATTGAGTATTTAGTGGCACTGAGGTATACGTATTCGTTATAACGACCTATGGGTCTTACTTTAATCCCATTTGTTACGTAAGCACATTCCAATCGTTTAGTAATGCAGAATTTATGATAAATCAATTGTTCAATGCTATCTTACTTTCAATGATTGTCCTTAACTAATGTAAGTCATATTTCAAAATAATAATCTGTCAAAAATGGAATAAGAAGAACCGTTCAATTTATCTTTTAGGAGTGATTTTTATCCTCAACTTAATAAAAATACAGTATTGACTTAATATTGGGAATATATGGATTACTAAGCTTTCAATGAATTTCAAAATTTCTTAACCGCGAGTTGTGAAGACAACTAGGTTTAACAACAACCAATAATTTTGAGTGTTTACATTTTCCTGTTGCTGTTAAAGACCGTAATTAATCAATCTTTATTAGAATATGTGAATCTTAAACACATTCCCACGATATTACATTTTAATAACAAATTTTAAATAATGTTAGATTGTCACATACAGTAGAACATCAACATTAAGATTCATTCAGTAGACGAGTCTCAAATAGAACGAAATGAATTTCATGGATTTTATTGCTAGCTGCAATCTACTTAACCCAGAAAAAGTCAATATAATATTCACGAAGATCTAAGATAATTTTATGATTTACATATATTTCAAATTACCGATGGATTAATCAGTTAATTAATTCCATTCAATATCAAGTTCAGATTATATAATAAGAATGATTGAAAATGAGGATATAGTGAATCATAAAAGTATATGCCTATATGCTTGACATAAAAAGTATCACAATGACATAGAGAGACAGTCAAGGTAGATAGATGCCAGTGTTCATTTATATTCATGTTTAGATGAAAAGTAGTAAAAAATTGCGATCAGTTTAATTTTATGATTGTGAATGTTTTCCGTCTTGATTTTTAGCAAACAATTGTGTTTTATTATTCTTTTCAAAACATTAATTCCACATATATATATACAGCTGATTAACGTTTTTCTCTAGATGTCTAGACAAATAAATAATGAAATGAAGTTATTCTTTTTTAAGATAAAGGGAACTTTTGATTAAAACACCGTTTCTATCTTGTTCAGACTCACTGACATATAGATAGACAGATTTTAATGAGAGAGAGAGAGAGAGAGAGAGTGAGAATAATCACTGAGTTTAGATCAAGTGAAGTCTCTGATTTCAGACAAATTGTCATATTATGCCTATCAGTATGTAAACATTTTTATTTTTTATCCTTTAGTATGTTTATTTTTTTTTTTTGGATACTGAAAAAAAAGAGAAAAAAATGGAATTCACAAGTGAAAATCACTTGACGTATTTAAGTTTTAATTGAGATGTTTCGTCTCATTTGCAGGTTGTACTCGCCAAGGATCGATAATCGTTAGTGTATTATTCGAAACTGGACAACTGGTTCATTTTAGTATAAAATTTTTCATCAGTGCATGTTCACAACCTCAACCTAGATGGAACACCGCACTATTAAGTCTTTCCACGCACCTTTAATAGTTAGCTCTTTTTCCGAAGGCTGAAGTCTACCTGTATGTTGATGATGTTTTATTCCCTTTGAGCTAGATGTTTCGAGGATAATGATTCCATGATCCTTTTTGAGTGGAACACCATAACAGTTTATTTTTATGTATTTTGTAGTATGGAACATTACCCGAATAATCTATTAAATCAGGAAATTTTCCTTTTGACTATTTATGTGTTTAAAAGAATAAAATCTGATGCTAATCATAGGACGAGTGTAAACAATCGACAATCAAACTCAAGATTGACAGAACAAGGTGTTAGTCATTTGTAGAAAATTTTGAATAGCTCACTTTTATCTGACGTTTATGCCAATAATGTTGTTTAGAAAAATAGTGAAAACTTTATGAATACTCCACTCAGCTTAGAAAATGAGAATCCACCGAAATCAGTATGTTCCTGTATGTAAATTGAATGATCCAATGAAAAAGGCGGTTTATCAGAATCATCTGATATTTATTAGCTTAATTCATTTCCAGCAAAAATCTTACCACAAATTATTTTGTTAAAATGTGTATGTATGAAAAAAAGAAGGCTAAACCAAACAGATGAAGACATAAAAACCACAGATATAAGCAAATAAAAACTTACTAGCTAACCAATTGTCTATATATATGGATTAGACTTGAGATACAATATTTTTGACAATGAAGTTGTGACCTGGTTACTAAAATACTTGAATTCAACCCACGAGTTTCTAAGTTTGAAGCCCACTTTGGTTACGTATATTTGGGAAGTCGGATAGTATTATTAGTCTTTACATAAACTTGTAGCTCAAAGCCAGATAAATGAACTAGTTAGCCGGCTTTAATCAACTAAAAAGTTGACTAGTAATTGTACAAGCCCTGAAAATTGCAGTTGACTTGAAAATCATGACGAAGTTGATGAGGTGAAGTCCCTGCTTTACTAGAATAAATTCATAGATTTCATATGTATACTAAATGAACAAATAACATTAAGACAACCTAAGGTCAAAGTAAAACTGAGGAAATGTGATGAAATAGACTGGTTAATTTCACGCGGTTAAATTGAAATATCTTCTAGGCATCAGATACATCCTTTATATGGTAGATTGATGAAGATGGACAGTCCTGATACCAGAAACAGACTAGTTGTTAACTTTTTGTAGCATATTCATTGGTTTATTAACTTCAGAGGATACCTATTCCCTGTCAGTATTTCGTTTAGCAGTTTCACCTCTCTTTTCTTGGTTTCACTTGCTCAGATATGATCAGTTATGTTGAATTGGGGTTTTATCAAACCTCGTTTGTATTGAACTGAACAGTTATTAATTAACTTGCGTGTCTAATCCACTTATCTTCGAAGCTGAATGTTAAGTGCAGTAAACTTTGATAAGTCTTTTATCATATCTAAATTTAATTTACTTTACAAATAATTATTATAGATAGTCCCTGTTTCAATCGATATGAGACGTAGTTAAATCGTTACATAAATTTCACACGACTGCTGTGCCTTTTTCAGCAAGGAAACTTAGTAAACCCTGCATCGGATAATTCGATTGGCTTTTCTGAAAGTGTTTATGCATTGCCGCGGGCCTAAATACCCGGGTTAAGATATGTTTTGGGTGCTGAACTGGTCAGGAAACCCCTAGAGACGACTGTTAGGATTTACTACTGTGTTCAATAGAGAAGATGGAAACCACTCTTTGTGATAAGTATACGTTTCATGGAAATCTGAAAGATTCAATTTAAATGGATTTTTGCATTCTACAGCATAAACACTGGTATAAATGCTACTTCGATAGAGTAAGATGATCTCCAATACAACAGATAGTATTTGCTACTGAGGTTGAACGGTGTAGATACAAGGTAGTCCTTGGGACAAATATAAATTGTACTCAATTTCCATATAAAGATAGACAACATGTAGCACTAAATCACAGTTATGTAACTACACATTATATTTATACGTAAAATACTGGGTAAGAGCATAAATAATGTCCTCAGAGGATCTTTCCTGAAACACACACTATGTACACACCTTAAAGATACAAATCAAATCGCCTCATGAGTCTCAAATAGGATACATAAGCATATATGCTCCACCCAGTGTTCGTCCATCACGAGATAAACATGGTTTCACGAAGACAGTGGTTGACTTGACTGATCTCCATCGACCACTCATGGCGGTTCATAAGGCAAGGCCCCTCGATCAACAGAACACCAGGAGGAGGTCTGAGTTTAATTTTACACTGAATCACTCACAGACACAGAGTTGTAATTGAAGCATTCGTTTCAAAGTTTGTTACGTTTTGATAAGTTCACTTAAAAGTTTATTAAAACTTCGGGTAGCTCAGACAAAAAAATTATATGAATATAAATATGTTTATACTTTAACATGGTATGTTCTATCTAGTGAATAGACGTTTGAAAACTTATACACGGTGTTTATGATTCAGTTTTCCCATTTTTATAAACTTATTATGTAAATCGTGAAATAGGTATACAAATGGTAGGATGATGAATAGAACGAGAATTCAGGATAGAATTTCTATCCATTATATCGAGAAACGTTTATAAATTATATTGAAAACTAATATGGAGATTTCCTGAAGCTTCCTGTAACTTCAACACAAAAGAACCTGATATACTTTTGCTTGTAATTTTATACTACTTTTAAGTAGGTTGACAGAAAAGCAAGTGACTAATGTATCTTACGACGAATAGTTTCTCTTTTATGTTAAATTTGTTTTCTACTTTAATTTATTTAGGTGGGAGAGCAGAAGATTCACTTATGTTTATTTAATAGCAAATCTCACATGAGAAACTCTCCAGTCCATGGTTGTTCACAGCATTATTCAAAAAGAAACAAACAGAGTGAGATTGAAAATTGTAAAACCAATCTGAATGAAATTTATCCTCATGCAGTTTCACGCCGACCAAGTGTACGTGATATTTTAAGTCAACGAAAAAACGTTCATCCACATTGTGAAAAGAACCAACAACAAGATAAGCAACAAATCCATTTGTTTGATCAGTCTTCTAAAAATTGCACTGATGATAACATATTTAAAAGTATAAAAACTAGCTTCTGTATATCAAATGGCCATATCGATTGTCATCATTCTAATTTATGTCTAAGTCGTTCAGATTATTTATTTTCTGAAAATAATTTAAATATGGGTGTTGTGGCACCGCCAAATTTGAATCCATTTGCATCATAGAGTTTTCAATTTATGAAATGATATACTTATATTTCGGTTTCTAATGTATGTATTAGTTGTTCTGTAATGTTCATTTAGATGTAATCCTTATTCTTCTTAGTTTCACAGTTGAAAGTAATAATTTTATTATTCAACATAAATGGCATACAGTGATGACTTCTACTTAAGTATAACCATTCTTAACTGCTTTCATAATCGTATTATGAATCGGTCACAATCATCAAGTGATTTTACCATGACAACACTGAATATTGAGCATTGACGCAGCATCTGGCATACTGCTTCTTTTTCGTTGAATTTAATTGATTACTCTGATGTAAACAATTAGGAGAAAATAGAGATTTGATCTTCATGGAATGTTTATTCAACAATCTACGGTTAAGTGCTTGATTCGAATCTACTTTTATTCATTGTACTTTTTATACTAACGAAGAAAAATAACGTCGTAAAAGTACAAAAAAAGAAACTAAGGTTGCTATCTCTGTACTTTCTATTTATGTTGTTATAATGGCAATAGTTATTTGCTTGGCAATGGTTTAACAAAAATCCCTTTGTAAATTATTGTACCATCATTCAGAGACATAATTACTAATAAAAGCACATCCACACATAAATACATAAGGACATTAACACATACATCTATGCACATATAACTAAACTTATTTTTTTGATGACTACTGAAGTTTGATCTTGTTAACTTTACTAAAATATAAACACCGTTATCAGAGAATTCGTTTCAGGTTCGCCTATTTATTTTCTTTTTGGCCTTAGAGAACACGGTTGAAAGCAAATAAAATATTTGTGTAAGAGGTTACAGTAGTATGTTTATGAGATACAGTTCTAATTCTTTGGTAGTTGGTATGGTTTGAAATAAATCTACCGATGAATTGTTGTTAACATGATTGAATTTAGGAAGGACAATCTTAATAGATAAGTTTATACTAATCATGTTAGCTGGTTGGATATTGTTGGAGGAGAGTTCTAAACCTTGGTTTCGTGCTATTTGGTATTTGTCAGAAAGACTTACTTGCATTTGTGAGAAAACTTGTGCTCCCATTAAGGTTAAAAACTAGATCGCATAGTTTCCGAGTCTTAGATAGGTACACACTGTGATTCCCTATTTGTAATGAATTAGAATCTTGTAAGTTATGTATATAATCATGTGAGTTTTAAAGTTACATAATTAACTGGCAAATCATATATCTTTTTCTTATTCTGATTGAGGTTCGGAAGACAAAAGAATTAAAAAACCTTGCAATGCCAACTGAATGATCATAATACTCTCCAGTGATACATAATTATTATGGTTTTCACTCTCTCTTGATATTTCAGATGCACACTATAGAATAGTCTGAAACTAAGAAGTAAAAACCACTTCATTTTACAATTAAAGTCATTCATTCTATGTAAATTAAATTTTAATTGAAATTCTTTTCATGAAAAATGTTAGTAAAGAAATATTGGTGAGACTATAATTTATGGACTACCTTCGAGTGACGCTAAAGTGACTTTGAGAGTATCCACCTAATAACTAGGACCAAATGAAAGTTATAAACCAGCGTGAGGAATTAGACTTAGGGTTTTCATCACGAACTGACCTCAGCTATAATGCCAAAACTCTATTTAACCAAATGACTGAGTGAATTTCATGCCAAAATCCGAGACCTGTCATCTTAATCCTGATTGGTTTGTCCATAAATTATAGTCTCGCCGAAATATTTACTGTTTGTTCGTTAAAACAATCAATTATTATTAATGAATGGTTGAACAACTCTTATTATGAACTCTTTCGTTCACTAAACTAATTATCCTACGATTTTATATGAAAACTATGAACATCAGAAATCAGGTAATTACTGAATGAAAAATGTTAAATTGTACACATTTAGTTCATTATATAAAATTGACTTGTATATTTATCTTTTTTAATCTAGACACCATCATAAATTCGTTGATCATTAAAGTTAAAAAAGCAGGTTTTCGCGATATTTCGTTTTCTACAGGAGACTATTGTCATTTATATAATTCCGGAGTAGATATAATGATGAGATAATATGTTTGGCTAAGTAATTGTTGAAAGATTCAAGTAGTGTTATATGCTTTCTATACAAATAATGTATATTTTCAATCCAGTTTATTGTAGTAATTCTAATATCAAACTTTTACATACATCATATTGTCATACCTTGATTATCATGGCTAATAAGCAAATAAAGAATGGAGCCTATCAATGTATTAAACTATTATACAATGCCTTTATATGTGGTTATGTTAACATCATAAGCTACTACCGTCAAAAAGACTTAAATATTTGTTGGGGAGATCAAGAAAACTCGAAAAAAGTCGAAAAAGGCCCTGAAGACGTTGAGAAGCACCTTATCAAATTAGCATTCACTAGAAATTTCGCCAGAAACATTCAGAAAGTGAAGAGTCACATGTCGAGTTTATGATCGGATGATTACCCATACTGCTACCATGTTTAGTATCGTTCCAGAATTTGCCGGAGACCCAAGGCCATCAAAAATACTATAAAAACCATAGATTTTCTGTACATAAACAAAAACCTTTGGAATAATGTGTTTCTTCCATATTTCGCACGTTTTCTCTCGTGCTCAAGTTGCTATGTAGATTTAGCCTAGGGGTTACTAGAAGAGCTTAGGAACTCAATCTAGCGTTCAATTAGTTGATCTATCATGACGACGGGGAAAACTAAAATGAATATTTCTTTGGGGCTCCTAGAAGCCTATATGTAGGTCAAGAGAAGCAGTCTGAACAGTCTCAAATCAGAATCATGGAAGCCCTTATGCAGAAAATGTGTCTGCCCCAGCAAAACCATGCTTCTGGTGAACTACATGTATCCCTATTGATTCAGTCACTAATGCAATCTATGAATTTGACTTTGATGGTGTAGCAGTTGTTACTTTTGACTCTTGGTTTAAGAAATATGAAGATCTGTTGCATAGTGATCTCTGCAGACTGGATGACGCCTCAAAAGTCTGAATACTTTTAAAAACACTTAGGATAACGGGACATGAACGCTATAGTAACTTTGTTCTTCCCATGAGACTTTGATGAAACAAATAAAATTTTATTTCAGATCTTTGGAGAACAGTCATTTCTATCTAATATCCGTTACCAATGCTTGGAGATGACGAAAGAACCAAGAGATGACTGGGCGAAACATGAAGGAATCGGGAATTGAGAATGTGAGAGGTTCAAGTTGTCTTCCATGGCAGAAGACCAGTTTAAATGCTTAGTATTCGTCTGTACCCTGCGTTCACCCGAGGAAGCTGACATCCGAACAAGAATCCTAAGTAAGAGAAAATGTTCCTTTCTAGACCAATCAGTAGCAATGAACATGATCACATGCACTCATAGGTAAGAAATATGAATAGGCTGACGTCAAATTTACGTAAATTATGAACAAACGTAACAGCACAACATGAATTCATTTATTTCATGATTTCTCTTTATCTGCTTACAATCTGGAACTACTAATATTAGTTACTAAGATACAGGACTGTACATACTTGGAAAAGTTCTCATCAAGTGAAGAATGACAGAGATACGATAAGTTTATAAGAATTTTAAGTGATGTTCATTTGGATAGATATTTTCCTATAGAAGACAAAAGTAACGTCAAAAATTACATAACGATAACTAAAAAATGTCAGAACTGATCATATGAAAACGAATAAAGCTCAGATAAGATTTAAGAAAGTCTGGATGAAATAAATTTGTAATTACAAATACAAAATGAGATGTTACACAATTAAATGTAATTGAACCAGTAAAAGATTGATAGCAATCTCTTTCTGAATACATTAATCCAGTCTAAACCTTTTAATTTCGGCAAAATGCGAAAATTTCAAAGCTGTTTTCTTATTGGTAATTTTGAATGATCTTGAAATGTCAACTTTTTGTCCACTATCAAGTAAATGATGGAGGATAGCACCATCAGAAGTATATTGACCTCTTAGTGTCGATTTTCGGGGAACATTCTCTGAAATGCGAATAACAACTATCTTTCCTTTTCTTTTAATTTGTTCTTCAGCATGAACAAATAAATTGCTTAACACAAATGGAAGTAACGTCAATTGTGTAATGCCCATTTTTGATATCTTAACAAGCAATTTGTTCGACATAACGAGACCAATGTAGTGATTCAGGAAGCCACTTTAATTCAGTCTCTAAGCTATTATCAATGTTCTCAGCTATTGGGTAACATAGTTGAATCCAGATCAGAAGAAGCTAATGACGTCTAATAATTTCAAAGATTACTAAACGTCACTTGGATTTTCGAGAAAACGTGTATAAATTTGCAGTTAATGTAGAGTAATACTAAAACATGCCTCCACTTTATGAATTTTTGATTATGTTGAACAAAGACAAATTAATTTATTATCAGAATGGGTTTTGTGGAGATTTTAGAAATTTCACAGATTGAAATCATGAGTCAATTGAAGCTAGACCACCATTGAAAACCTGGAAGCACTGGACGGCCGTTTCGTCCTAGTATGGGACTCCTCAGCAGTGCGCATCCACGATCCCGCACCACGCGGGGCTCGAACCCAGGACCTACTGGCTTCGCGCGCGAGCACTTAACCATTAGACCACTGAGCCGGCATCCAACGGTGTTAATGTCTAACTTCAACCAATCCACGAAGTTGCGCCACCGTACACCATTGTCTTCAGTGAGTTCCTATCTCACAACAGACCTGGTTACCAGTGGAGACAATGGTGTACGGTGGCACAAATTAATTTAGTTTATTTACTTCGAAATGTTTACGGTATGGGTGAAATTATTCGTTATCAAACATACGTTACTGCCAGCCATAACTGAATTGTTTGTAAGAATGTATTTGATGGTAACTGAAGAACTATGGCCACACGTTTTTCAAAATTAATTATACTACTCATCAATAGTGCAAATAAAAATCGTTAAATATATACTAGTAACGAACTTAATTCGGTATAAAACGATTTGTAAGGAACGGATA